GGGAAAACAAAAAAGCAGTGGCAGCGGGCCGCCCTACTGGGTAAGAATTGAAATATGTCGAGCATCAAAGAGGTAGACGGCAGCAGGACCCAGCCCCGAAGAGCTCCGTTCTCTTGAACACGAAACTTGTGTGCAAGCCGGAATTGCGGGTCGTAAAAGCGACCGTGAAGGGCTTTGAGAAGCCATGGAAGATCCTGATCAATTCGGGTGCGTCGGGTAATTATGCTCGACGCTCCATTACTATAGGAAGTCAGCTGTATGCTGAGGCACAGAAAGCGGAGTTGAGTGACATCATCACTGTTCGCTTAGCGACGGAGACTTATGCCACTATGTCGAAGGTCATAGTGAACCTCGGTGTCAAGTTCCTTGATTTTGATAGCGTGGAGCGCTGTCTAGTCTTAGACTTGGATGCAAGGTATGAACTTATGCTCGGTATGGCATGGTTGGAACATCAGGAGCCATCTATCGATCGAAGGCCGAAGACCTTGGGCGCCACGCGTACGTCTCCTGGTGGGGCTTTTGTGAATCATGAACCCACCTTTGCTAGGAAGCAGAAATTCTATTGACGCGGGCACTGGTCCTTGATGGTCAATGTGCTAGATATCGAAGTACCCGAGCTGTTAAACACTGAAGGTGTATTGGACAAGTGTCCCGAGCGTGGCTCGCGGGCTGAAGCTGGAGTGGCACGTATTCCACTGAGCGCTGCTCAAGTATTGGATCAGTAGCTGGATGCCAAGAGTGACTTGGTCGCATCAAGGACGAGGCCCTTGTGATGCACGTGGAAAAGCACGATACACACTGATCACTGCTTGCGTTACAAAGCATTTACTGCATGCCGACAGCTGCATGGTCGGGTGAGAATCGAGGCATTTTGGGCACGGCTCTTCAGATGCACGTGGAGTGGCACGTTATCCACTGGACGAAGACTGCGGAAATAGCAGCTCGTCGTCGGATGTTGTTACTAGCATCAAGGCTCCGATGGAGCAGGGAGTTGGAACACTGAAGAGACGCAGAAAGTCTCGATAGACGTAGAACTTCTTTAGAGCAGACGGCGATGCTGTATGATATCTCCAAGACACAGGGCGTCGACCCTGACCCAGGGTTTGTCTTCCGTAAACAAAAGCGCACAGCTATATACCCTTGTCAAAGGTATGACGGGAGAGGGAGACGGCGATGTCATATTCCCGCGGTGGATGCTCTTCTTGAGCTGGACGAAATGTCCTTTGATGCTTTGGCTGATGCGTTGTCACGCAGTGCAGACTATAAGCTTGCTTATGTCACGACGATGATGTCGTCAGTCTCGGTATCATAAACTCTTAGCGAGAAGCCACAAATCGTGGTGTAGTTGCTGAATCGGTGCTATAATACAGCAAACGTTATTCAACGAATGTTGTTGTAGCCTTGCGCGCCGACAATTTCTTGTCTAAGCTTCCAAACTTCTTGCTCCCGAGAGCCTGTAGCAGCGCTACTCACATACCATCGCCCGCATTTGCAGCGCGGATCAAGCCCGCCACTGACTACGTCACCGTCATGACATGTGCAGACTCCTAATCCGGTCTGCCTCCCTGGCTTATACACCACCTCGAAGTTTTCTTCTGCGAAGATGGAGAGCCACCTAGCCGTCCTCTGCGAGAGGTGAGGCGACTGACTCGCAGTGCGTAGTGACGCATGATCTGTGTAGATCACAAACGGCTTCGAGCCAAGCAGGTACACCCTTAATGTGAAAGTGCATACTTCGTCGCAAGCAATTTCTTGTCATAGACTGGAAAGATCTTCCCCGTAGTCGTTAGCTGGCAAGAATCAAGCGCGATCACCCCATCTCGCCCCTCGGTGTCTGCTTACAGCAGTGAACAGCCGATGGCAAAGTCCGAAGCTTCACAGACGACATCATAAGGACGATCAAGGTCTGGCCACGCCAGTATTGGTGCATGAAAGAGGCTGTCGTTGACCCTGTCAAAAGCCTCCCGATGCTTGGTGTCCCAACTCCATTCCGTATTCTTCTTAAAGAGATTTGACAATGCCCGTGCCATTTGAATCATTAGCGTTATACTTTTACAAATAGCTGGTGAGGCCAAGCCAATTGCGAAAGACCTTTTGGCTATTTGGAACCGACCAGTCCACAATGACCTTGACCTTAACAGACTCCACTTGAAGGCCACGCTTCCCAACGAAGCACCCTAAAAAAGGGATCTCATCAGCGCCGAAGATGCACTTATCTGCATTAGCATACAGCCTATTCGTGCGCATGCACTCGAGCGCTGTTCTCAAATGGACGATATGGTTCTCTTCATCTGTTCTCCCGTGCATGGCACGACTGTGGACGAGGACGTTGTCGAAATATGTTTGTGCATAAGCATGGTGGGGCCTGAACAGTTGCGCCACAAGAAGATTTAATATTGCTGCCTTGAGACATCACCAGCCTCTTCCAGAGCGTCCTGCTTGGAGTACTCATCGCTGTCAGCGGAATATCACTCGCTCTCATGAGCAATTTGTAATACCAATCGACCGAGTCGAGCGCGCTGTAATTTTGGACAGCCAACTATATTGTTCTGGAGAACATCCTTTCTAGGAATCGACGTTTGTGCCGGAATGATGGCAGCACTTAGCTTATTGTAAGTGTAAACGATATGCCACTTGCCCTTCGGCTTCCGGATACAAAACGTTGTGAGTCGAATGGGAGACTTGCTCTCACGCACCATTACTGCCCCGTGGCTCGCACGAAAAAAGGCGCCAATGGCTTCACTCGACTCTTTGGACAGAGGTCATTAGCGTGCTACGCAGTATTTGGTCCCGGAACCAATTCAGTCTCATGACGCCCAGCCCACCTCGGTCCGAAGGTAGGGCCGACGGCGAGTATTTGGATACGACGTCTTGAAATTCCGTTACCAAAGGATATTACGAGTCCGAGGAAATTTTCAGGATCAACGATTCACTTCGTGCGATCAGCAATCTCTTGGTGCCCTCCAGGACTGGTTCATCCAGAAGCGACGCACGAGTTAATCTCCTCGTTCGGTCGTGTATTGACCGCCTCGGCTAAATCGCCTGCCTTCAAGGCAGCGCCAAAATCTTCGAAGGCTATCCTGTTTAGCTCAAGAAGTGCTTCCAACGCGGTAATAGCCTCGGGGGTGACGTTGTCGCCCTTTTCTCCCGTCATACCCGTTGGCAAGGGTGTATAACTGTACGCTATCGTCCACGGTATACACGCTCTGGGTCAGGGTATGCCCTGCGTCATGCAGATAACATACGGCATCACCGTGTCCTCTTTATGAAGGTTCTACGTCTCATCTAGACCAGTGGGAACACTTACTCAGCGTCGTCTAGTGTCCCTCCTCCCTGCTCCATCGAAGCCTTGATGTCATTAACAAAATGCGACGAAGAGCTGCTATTTCCGCAGTCTTCGTCCAGTGGATAACGGGCCACTCTACGCGCATCTAAAGGACCTTGCCCAAAATACCTCGGACGCCGTCGGACCATGCCACTGTCCATGCAGCAACTGCTTCAAAACGCGAGCAGTGCTCACTGGATGACGTGCACTCCACGTGCATCACTGAGGCCTCACCCTCGATGCCTCGGACCTCGTCCGACCATGCCACTCTTGGCATGCAGCAACTGCTTTCATACTTGAGCAGTGATCAGTGGGTTACGTGCCACTCCACGTTCAGCCCGCAAGCCATGCCAAAGACTCCTGTCCATAGCACCTTCGGTATTCTGATACTCCGATATCTAACACTTTGACCGTTTCGGCCCAGTGCCCGCGCCAATAGAGCTTCTACTTCCTAGCAGTGGTGGTTTCATGACTCACAACAAAGCTCCACCAGGAGATGTGCGCGTAGCGCCCAAGGTTTCGACTACCTGTCAATCCATGGCTCATGGTGTTCCAACCATGCCATACCAAGGATAAGGTCATACCTTG